AAGAGGTGCATCCTACCTCAGGAAACCATTATTGAATATCAATTGTGTTGTAATGATATGCTTCTTCTAAGTATGTTGTTATTAAATAAATAATTTTTAAAAATTAAAAAAAAAGATGATACATACCCCAAAGAACAAAGCAGCCAAATGATGCACAATTTAGTTTGAAAGCTAAAGAAAATATATCTTTTATAGTCTTAGAATGGAGGCAGGGCAGGAAACACTAGCGTTAATACTATTCTTTCTATAGAACTATCTATTACAGTTCTTACAAAACTAAAACATGCCGATACTAAAAAGCAAGTCTGAGAATTTCATAAATTTCTAGCCATAGTAACTGTTCATTTCAAAGTCATATGTCATATGCAGTGTTGATTTTAATTATAACAGTAACAATAGAAGTTGACATTTATTGGTCATTTATTATACCAAATTTTGGTATAAACTCTCTTCACACACAATAAAACCTTTATCCTTATCCCATGGCATGATAAGAATTAAGCACTGCTATTGTCTCCACTTTACAGACAAGAGGAAGAACAGAAAGGACTAGTGATGCGTTCAAGGTCACACAGCTCAAGAAAGAAATATTCCTAGGATTAAATCCTAGAAGGTCTGACATGAGTCCCTAGCTCTTATACTATGACAGACTAAAGAAATAAAGAACTACTTGTTTTCTGGTACTCAATGCATCTATTATACTTTGTGTATACCTGCCTTCCATCTCAGCGAAATCAGTAAATTATATGTTAATTAAGTATGCATTGTTCTATTATAAATAATAATACAAATTAATATAAACAGATACCATATAAAACACACATTATCTTTATGTGTTTTGTGTACATGAATGAAAAATACTACAAGCTTAAGATAATAACTTCATTTTTCCATAACGATTATTTTTCTTCATTTTATTTGTTGTCTGGGGAGATATGAGCGTGCCATGGCATGGTGTGGAGGTCAGAGGACAACTTTTAGCAATCTTATCTCTCTTTCTACTATGGAGTCTAGAAATCAATCTTAAGTTGTCAGGCTTGTGAGGCAAGTATGTTTAATCAATGAGCCATCTCACCAGCCTAATTTTTCCATAACTGTTATTTTACTTCAGCTACAACTTTTGAGCATTTTCTTTAGCATTTAGCGATTAGCACCTGGTTCCCATTGTTTTTAAATTACCAGAGTCTCACCCCTAGAAGGCACGTTCACCTTAAGTTATGTTAAATAGATGGGTGGAATACCTGGTACATTAATGAAGTAGCAAATTTTTCCTGTCTGGAATTTCACCTTGTATTGCAGAATTCCACAGAACTTCTGACCAGCCACAGTCATGTAGGTCTCTGTAAGTCTGTCTACTTTCTGCAGTTTGGGTCCATTCCTCAATTCTTTTATGAATGAGATTAAGAACCCTCTAGGCGACTCACACACACACACACACACACACACACACACACACACACACCCCATTTCAGTACAGGCCAAAACTATGGACATATGGTATCTTACTTTAATTAAAAGACAAAATGACCTACAGTAACAGTATGCGAAGGTGCTTTGCACACAATGTTAGACTGGCACCATCCTTTGAAATATTCTGAAAAAAAATTTTTCTACCGTTTGTATGTTCAGAATGTTCCATTATCAGAAACCCTCAAAAAAAATAAAATTTTCATTATAAACTATAACATCTAAAAGAAGATTCTGATCATATAAATTAATACACTATAAAACCTAAAAAAATACAAGATGTGCAATTACGTTGGAAGTAAAAATAATAAAAGCTTAAACCTGCTGGCAAAAAAATTACCTGAATCTGTGTCTTTAGCTTCAACCCTTGTGACAAATGCCCCTGGACTTTGGTTTTCTTTAACTGAAACTTCATATGGGTATTGTGTAAATACCGGTGTCTCATCGTTTACATCAAGGACAGTAATCGTCAGAGTCTGGGATGAAGAAAGTGCAGGTGTGCCACCATCAAGGGCCACAAGGGTCAGAACGTGCTGAGTTTTCACTTCATAGTCCAAAGGACGAGCTGTCATTAACAAGCCTGCTTTGAAAGAGAAGATGCAGTATGTTACAAAGCTCCCTGGGTTCCTTACACTTACTTTACGCGAGTCTAAGTGACTTTACACAATTAAAAGTGCAAAATTTTTCATTGCTAAAGAATAAACCATAAAAAGACAATGAAATGTATTGATCCAACTTTAAATGTATATAGTATCTAACAACAAAAAGTTAACATTCTTAGTAAGAAGAGTCAATTTAAATTATAAAAATGACAATTAAAAAAAAGTCTATCCAGTACCATCTCCCTCACTTTCAAAGATATCTATGATACTAGCAATATATATTTTTGTGTCATGTGACATATTTAAATGTAGCCAAGTTATAAAAGTGTGTGTATGACTCCATGGTTTAGGACATTTGATTTCTGTTACAGACTTATGCTTACTCTGGGCTAACTGCCTTTGCTTTATTAAAAATAAAGAGCAAAGACATTGCAACTCAGACAATAAACCTCACAAATAGCCATGCACTGCACTGAAGCATGGAATTCATCTACACACAGGGTTCTACACAGGGAGCCATTAAATGGTCATCGTTATCACATTTTTCTTTTAAGATTGCTTCCCTAAGAGTTTTGCTTCAAATAATTAAATAGGCTTATTGAATAGGATTTATGAAACAGTTTTCCAACAATTGCTCACCACTTTATATTTTACAGTCATTGAAAAACTCTCTATGCCTTCTTTTTAAGGAACATGAGCCTTGTGAGAGGAAAAATTCACATCTCCTATGGATGCATTCTGTAATTATCCATTTATGTCTTTGAAAAATACCTCAAAGAAGCTTCCACTGCAATAGGTTAAGATTCATGATGCCTACATTACTAAGAAACAATTCAATTTTATTCATCCTCTTTAACAGTCTGAAATAGACCTTCCTTAGGCCTCTTGGAAAGCATTTTAAGTACCATTAAAACAGCTCCATGGAGAGCTGCAGCTCCATGGGTCTGGAGTACCCCTTGTCAGCTGGGCATTAGGTAGTGTTCATTTGACTCAAAAGGGAACCATATGTACAGGATTTAAGAAATAGTCTGATAAACTTTCCCAACAGAACACAGCCAGACTACGGTTCCAGCTTCCAAATCCTACACATTCAGTTCCATTCCAAAGAATGCCCTGAGCAGTTGGCCAATCTCTAATATACATCTGAGATTTTTCTAAGGTTCATGTTGAAATGACTGTTTTATATTATAATCAATTAATTGTTAATATCTCCTGAAAACCAAGTGGTGGCAAGTTCATTTACAAATTCACAAGACTGATATTCTGCACAGACTTTTTAATCAAGATTCATAAAAACCTAGAGCGATGCCACCTGACAGCACAGTGACAAGGTGTTGGAGTGACAGTGACTGACATTTCTGCAGAGTTCATGACATAAATGCTGGTGTAAGAAATAAAATGTTAAAAGTTTAGAGGTGGACAGGCTAAAGTGTGGCCCTCCTTATTGTACAATAAAGCCCTGACATTCACTGCCAAAAAATAAAATACATAAAATGTTACAATTGATGTGAAAAACAAGTCCTTTAATGAACAATGAATTTAGCCATTAAAGCCTGTGTATTATTTCCAGGTATTTACAAATGTTGGTTTGAGTAATCTAAAAGGTACATTTCCATATCAAATTCTTTACATTATGGTGCTGATTAGTCATATTTCCACCTTGGTTTACTTTCAGTAGCATCTCTTACTTTAAGGACTCACAATGGTTGACTGTCACATACTCAGCCCACAAGATATGATGTGGCTTCTGAGCACAGTTAATACCAGCACAGTGGCCAATTAAAGAACTAAAGTGGGTTCTCTAAATACAGCTCTGCTTATCATATATATATATATATGTATGTATATATCACACACACATATATATTTCCATACATACATATGTCAAGCAGTATAACAAGTAAAACTTAGAGATTTTTTTTTAGAGACAGAGTCTCACATAGGCCAGGCTGGCCTCAAACTCCCTAAGCAACAGAAGATCACCTTGAACTCCTTTTTTTAAAAAAAAATTATTTTTAGTGTATGAGTTCATTGCCTGCATGCATGTATGTGCACATGTGTCATGCAGTGCCTGCAGAGGTCAGAAGAAGGCATCAGATCCCCTGGAACTGGAGTTACAGACAGTTGCTAGCTACCATGTAGATGTTGGGATCTAAACCTGATTCCTCTGCAAGAGCAGCCAGTGCTCTTAACCAGTGAGCCGTCTCTCCAGCCTGACCCTGAACTCTTGATCCTCCTCCTTCCACCTCTCAAGTGCTAGGATTCTGGACACATATTACCACATCTGGCAAAATAAATTTTGTAAAGCAGATACATCTTGAGAACTGTCATTTTAAGAGAGGAAAAGTACGCATGTCATCAAGTCTTACTAGGCTTTAATTAAAAAATGATAGGAAAACAAATAAAAGACACCCAAATCAAAAGAAGTGGTGACCCCTGTCTGATGACTACGTGATCTTTTAAATGGAAAACCCTAATGATGGCCACAAAAATGCCAATGAAAAATAAATTCACAAGTCATAAAGTATAAAATCAACATAAAAGTCATTTACATTCCTCCACAGTAATAAGGAATTGTCTGAAAAGGAAACTAGGGGTAAAGCATCAAAGGGGTAGAATGCTGAGGAGAAAGGGGGACTACGGAGCTGAACACTGAGCATACTGAGAAGAACATGGCAGCACTGAGAGGGATTTTAAAAGAGACACTACATGGGAAAATAGTCCACAGTCACAGAGTAAAAGACTTAATATTGGTAAAATGTTAAAATTCTAATGGCTTTTTTTTTTCAGAAAGAAAAAAATCCTAAAATCCATAGAGGATCCCTAAACTCCAAAGACTCTTGAGAAAGAAGAGGCCAAGCGAAGCAGTTGTTCTTCTTGGTTTCATAATATAGGAGAAGGCTGCAGTGATCAAAGCTAAACGGAAGTGTCCGAGGACAGTCATATAGACCAGTGAAATACAGAGGAGAGTCCAGGAATAACTTCATACGCACACGTCCAACTCAGCTTGGACCAAAGTCCTAGAGAGACACCACGAGGAAAGTAGTGTCTCTTCAACATACAGTCTGGGGAAAACTGAATATCCACATGTGAAAGAAGGAAGTTGGATCCTTATTTTTATACCATGCATAAAAGTGAGCTCAAAATGAATCAAGTGCTTAAACGTAAGACCTGAGACTCTAAAATTTCTAAAAGAAAACATAAGGTAGAAGCTTTGTGACATCGGTCTTGGCAATGACTTCATGAGCGTGACAACCAAAGAAGAAGAACACAGGGAGCAAATGGGCTGCATCCAGCTAAGAGCCTCTGTGTGACACGGAGAAAGGAAGCTTGAGGGGTGGAGGAAAAGTCTGTGTACCACCAATCTGATGAGAGGTTAGTATCCAGAACCTACGAAGGACTCCTGTAACTAAACAAAGAAAACATGACATTAAAAATAGGTACCAGGTGTGGTGGCACAGATCTGTAATCCTAGCACTCAGAAGGTTGGGGCTGGAAGGAGTTTGAGGCCAGTCTGGGCTATATAATGAGACCCTGTTTCAAAAAAAACATTAAATATTAGAAAAGGACAGAGATTTTGAATAGACACTTTTTTTTATCAGAAGAAGCCATACAAACGGCCAAGAAGCATATGAAAATATGTTCAGTGCCACTAGCAACTGAGGAGTGAAAATAAGACCCACAATGAAATATAACCTTACCATTGCCAGAATGATCACTATTTCAAAACTACATACAAGAGTTGGAAAGGATGCATAGAAACAGAAACTCTTGCATACTACTGATGCTATTGCAAAATGTTTCAGCTGGAAAAGAGTATGGAATTCCTCAAAACTATTTTAAAAATTAGGGCTAGGGAGAGAGCTCAGTGGTTAATAGCACTAGCTACTCTTACAGAAGACCCATGTTTGGTTCTTAATACCCACATGGTTGCTAACAACTGTACCAATCCATAACTCCAGTTACAGAGCATCTGATGCCCTCTTCAGGCCTCTACAGGCACTGCACACACAGATGCACTAACTACCATGCAGGCAAAACACTCATGCACATAAAACAAAAGCAAATAAAATTCCTTCAGATAAGATTGAGGTCTGCTGTTCATTTTCCCAATTCTATGCTGGGCTATTGTCTGCCTGAGTTTGCGTCGGACACCATTGCCATAGAATCATATGTATAGACTTGCACTGGGGAACAGTTGGGGACACTGACAACCCAGTGGGCCTTAACAGGGATGACCAAGTATATGGGCTCCAGTGGTGGGTGAGGGGGAGCTATGGAGGGTGCCAGTGAGAATGGAGGTATAAAAATTATTAAGATTTTTTTGAGCTGTTCTGTACAAAATACACAAAAAATTTAATTAAAAAGTACATAAAATTTTAAATTAAAAAAATAGGGAAAAGCTCATAAAGCCTCACCTCTCCTGAGTAGCCATAAGTGGTTTAAAATTAAGCTATCCTATGACTAAACAACACCACTGCTGGATATGTACCAAAAGAACTAAAATCAGGAGCTCCAAGAGATAGGATAAATGTCATATTCACTGCACTGCTGTTCACAAGAGCCAAGATATGGAAACAACTTAAACGTCTATTAGCAGATAAATGGATGAAGAAAATATAGCATAGGATGAAGAAAATATAGCATGGGCTTACAATGGAATACTATTCAGTCCTTTAAAATCATGAGGAAATTCTCTAATGTGTGATGGCACGGATGGACTTTGAGGACATTGTGCTAAATTGAATAAGCTAGATAGAAAGACACAAGCTACATGGCTCCACTTATTTGAGATATTTTAAATGATCAAATTTGCCTAATTACAGAGTGGGATGGTGCCTGTCAGGGAGTGTATAGAGGAGGAAAATTAGAGAAAACTTAAATCTATCAAACCCATAAACATGAATAATATATGCTGCAAATAAAATGTTATGACAGTTTGTCTCGTTAAATTTTCTTCCTACACAGTTGGACATGGTGACATATACCCATAATCCCAGTACCAGGGAAGCAGAGGCAGAGTGATCAGGAGTTCAAAGTCATAGTTTCACTATATAGTGACTTTGAGGCCAGCCTGTGCTACATAAGAACGTGTCTCAAAAACAAATCCCTCAAAAAAAAAAACCAAAAAACAAACCAAAAAACCTTTCTTAGTACAGTAAAGTAAAACAAAAAATTGTAGTGGCATACAGAGCACTGTACCTGACGACTTATCTAACGTAAAGGCCGTGTTCGCATTTCCTGAGAGGATGCTATATGTTACTTCTCCATTCATTCCTGCATCTGGGTCCTGGGCACTTACGTGGTGCACCAGGGAGCCCACCGCAGCATCCTCTCTGACATAGGCAACAGGATAGGACACAAAGCTGGGGCTGTGGTCATTCACATCCAAAATCACTACTTCTGCCACCAGTGACCTCCACCGCCGGTCCGTCACATTCACAGCCTGATCAGAGGCAGTAATGGTCAGGATAAAAGTTGGAATGTCCTCTCTGTCCAGGGGAGATGCGGTAACCAGTGTGCCAGAAGAGGGGTGGATGAGAAATGGATTTGTTCCAACATGGCTGGATTCCATGAAATATTGTATCCTTCTGTTCAGAAAGCTGCCATCACCGTCCTTGGCATTGAAGACGTACACCAGAGTCCCTACAGCAGCATTCTCTTCCACACTTATCACAATGAACTCATCCTGGAATGACGGAAAATGGTCATTCTGATCTTCCACATCGACACTAAGGAAGATTGTGCTGTTCAGGGGAGGGTCGTGACTATGGTCTTTAGAAATCACCCTGATAAGATAGTGAGATGTTATTTCATAGTCAAGTTCTTCGGAGAGGAACAGGTCTCCTGTTGAGCTGTCGATTTCAAAGTGGTCATCCTTGTCCTCTGCAAAAATACTGAAGTGTAACTTCCCATTATGGTGTTGCTGAAGGGGACTGGGTGGCTTCATCAAGCTCATGATTTTTGCAGGCTTCGTGTTTTCTGGGATAACTAAATGTCTGATATTCTGAGACATGAAAATTCTCCCTTTGGATAGGGGTATCACCTAAAATAGAAACAGAAAAGGATGTTTAAACAGAGTAGTTTAAACTAATTCTAAGTATCAACAGTTAGAGCCAAGTTTAAATATCAGTACATTTATATTATATTATATTTATTGTATTATATTAGAAGCTGATCTCTATTTGTGTTATATATATATTAATTGATGAGACTGCATTTTTATATAATTCTAGTATGTCTCAGAAGACTTAGGATTGCATAATATTTAGGAGAGAAGAGACTGCAGTTTTCTACTTTTCAACTTGCTGCAACGTATGAAGTGATCATTTTTGAAGCTCTGATGTGTGTCAGCTGAAATGTACTTGATAACTTCCTAATGTGAATACCACACAGCTAATTCTTCAAAATACTGCAAATCCTAGAGGCTAATCTAGACTTGATGACACCTTTAGGCATTTAAATATCAACTTGAGGTACGACCATATCAGCTTTTCTCCTAACTCATATTTCCTTACTCTATAAACGATATAGTTTAAAAACAGTTGTCCTGGGGAAATATGCTCTTTATTACTATATATCCCTATATTACACATATACCTGTGTTAATATTACTATTTATCATGTGCATCAACAAAGAATCTACTTATGCACAGACACCTTAATTTTGACTGGCTGGGGCTACTTTTCCTGCTATAAAGACTTCCCACAACTTGTTTTAACATTATGATTAATGTTCAGCTTTAAAATATGAATATCAAGTAACTTTTACAAGCTTTAAAAATTTGCAAAAACTTATGCAATTTTTTTCCACAGACATTTGTTTACATGCAAGGCCCTTCTGTAAATGTATCAAGTCATTGCAATCAAGAATAAAAGACACCTTGTGTTCATTACATACAAAACAACGCAAATGCCCGTGTAATAATGAATATTTTCTCAAGATCTGGATCTTTCCTAAATGATAACGAGAACGTAAGTATTGTGTAAGATGCCCTTGAAACAGCACCCACACACTAGGCATAATCTCCTTTATACACACTTATGTAAAATTCAAATGATACCTTCAAATCATTCTCCTACCATTTGTGTTAATGGCATTACCTGAATGTTGATAATGGCCTGCCCTTGCAGTGGGGGCAAGCCCTGGTCACTGGCGATAACTGCTATCCTATAGGAAGGTCTGTAGTCATGTGACAGTACTGTGGTTGTTCTAACTTCACCACTGTTGGCATCAATCTTAAAGTGAGCAGGATAATCTTCTAGACACAGACATGTACACAGAAAGGAAGAAATTTATTAATCAACAAGGCAGACTATAGGGGATCAACTAAATTAATATATCCATGTTCATTTGGAGTATTTGTTTGCTTTGGACTCCTTAAGAGTTTGAGGAGCTAAGGAATATTAATTTTCTTTCATTTTCTTGAGAGTTTGAGAACTGTTTACCCTAGTCAAACCTTTTACAATATACTCCTGTGCCAAAGCAACACATCACATGGTACCACATTAATCTGTACAGATTTTATATGCTTATGGATAGTTAATATAGATTTAAATTTTTAAGTACCATTAAACTATAGATAAGACAGTTTTAAAGTCCAAGGATATAAAAATGAAAAAGTAGACAGCTGGGCATGGTGGTACATGACTATAATTAAGTAGGAAGATCATGAGTTCCAGAGTATCCTGGGCTTCAGAGTGAGACCGTGCCTCAAAAAGAGAAAGAAGGGTGGGAAAGGGAGGGAAGGAGAGGGGAAGAGAGGGGGGAGGGGAGGAAGGAGGGGAGGACGGGAGGAAGGGGGAGGGAGGAGGGGAGGGGAGGGGAGGGGAAAGGAGGGAAAGGGAGGGGAAGAAGGCATCAGGTCCCTTGGAACTGGAGTTATGGATGGTTGTTAGCCATCATGTAGATGCTGGAAGTCTAACCTGAGTCCTCTGCAAGAGCAGTCAATACTCTTAACTGCTGAGTCATCTTTCCTGCTCGAGTCTTTGAAGGGAAGGGAAGAAGGGGAGGGGAGGGGAGGGGAGAGGAAGGGAGGGGAGGAAAAGTGGAAGTGGCACCTAGAACTCCCTGTGCTCAACACTTAGTTTCAAGCTTCAATAACTGTCGATTCAAAACCTGCCTTATTCGTCTGTTCTCATTTATGGACTTCCCTTCCTCTATTTTCTTTTGAAGTAAGCCTCTAAAATTATACTTCCTCTGTTGTATTTCATCATGAGCTTAGTTCTAAATAGTTTTAAATAATCACAGTACCATATAGTTTAAACACTAATAATGACCTTTACTATCATCAAGTATCCAGTACATTTTCAATTTCCAATTTTCTCACAATACCATTTTGTTTGGTCAGTATGCTGTGTATTTCTTCAATCTATAGATTTCTGCCATCATGTGCCGTTTGCCTTTGCATTGATTTGTTGGCACTGGGTCATGAACCCCAGAGTTTCCTGTGGTCTGCATTTGGTTGTCGCATCTCCAGCACGTAGCTTAGTATGTTCTGTCCTCTGTGTCTCCTTAAATACTCAAATTCCTTACATTTCTTTAGATCAGGAACAGATCTAGAGAATTGATCAGATTCAGGTGGAAGTTTTGGTGAGATGACTTCTTGAGAAATGGTTGAATTTTCCTTCTTCGACAACGTCTTGCTACCCTTTGGTCTGGATGTTGGTCCTGCTGGCCCAAAGCCTAGATCTATGGATTCAATAAGTGTTCCCAAGTATTGGATAGTGCTACCTTCTTGTTCCCTTTCATTTATTACCTGGAATATCTTAATAAGACATTTTCTTCCAACTACATTTTTAAAAAGTGTGTGTGTGCGTGTGTGTGTGCGCACGTGTGTGTGCGTGTGTGTGTGTGTGTGTACATGTATGCACTGCTCTATCTCCACTGTCTTTCACAGGAATTTCATGTTCTTTCACTCCACTTAAACCAAAGAAAAAATGGAAAAAATATCTTACTGACTTGATTAACCTAATAGCCAAGGTAAGATTTTTTTAATGGAAAAGATTCTTCTTCTCCAGGACCTGCTTAGACTAGGTCAAGAAACTGTAAGAAAAAGCTGAGTAGTAACAATGGGGGTGGAGGAGCGGCTGTCCTCAAATATGGATCTGATGCAGCAGACTCATTACCACTGTACTGCTCAAGTGTGCTATAAACTGAGAAAAATCTTTTGAAATGTTTACATGGGAACACATCAGGACGCCTTCCTTGTGAGGACCAAGGAACATGAAAAGAGAGTTTACTCTCTCACCAAGCTGATGAGAAACACTGACAATCACACCAGTGAAGCAATGAGATGGACTCAAAGCTGTTATTAAAGTCAAATCCTCTTCATGCTCTGTAAGTTGTCTTTTTCCAATCAGTTTCAAGATTGCCTGTGTTACTGTATATAAACTGCAGGCTATTTATTTTCACCGTTGTAGAGCGTCCCACTCAAATTATACCACATCATGCAGGCACATGAAACAAAGCTTCAACAGATATTTCGTTCCTTCTCGGCACACAGATGAGCTGCTGTAGGGTACTGTATTAGTCACTTTTCCATTGCTGTGATAGAAACACTGACCGAAGCAACGTATTAAAGGAAGAGTTTGCACTTACAGTTCCAGGGGAATTATAGTCCGTCATGGCAGGGAGGCATGGTGGCTGGAGGTGGCTGGAGCGGGAGCAGCAGAAGCTAAGCTCTCACATCATCACACAGGCACAGGAAGCAGGAGAGCAACTGGAGCTCTGGCAAGGCTTAAGAACTCGCTAAGCCCACCCCCAGTGATGTACTTCCTCCAGGATAGCCACACCTTCTAAAACCTCCCAAAACAGCACCACCATCTGGGGACAAAATGTCCAAAAACTTGGAGCCTATGGAGGGCATTTTCATTCAAACCGTCATAGGTTACTGCTTCCGGGAACATAATCCCCTCCCAAGTTTATCTAATGTCACTTCTCTAGTCTTCTAAGTTACCATAATAAGGATGTTTTCACATGGCTTGTGCTGTTCTGGCTCCTTTTCTGTGCATTGCCTGTTAATATCCTTTGTCCAATTTTCCAATTATTGGTCCTTTGATCTTTAGAAATACTTAATAAAAATCTGAATGCATTTTGTGTTATTGCATGGCTTCTAATTATTTTCTCCCAATCTGTGACATGACTAATAATATTGTAAATAATGGAGTGTTGAATTTTAATGTAATTTCATTCATCTATTTCTTTTGTGTTCTTTTGTGTTTTTTATTTTCTTGTTTAAAAATCATTATTCGTAGAGCTGGGCGTGGTGGCGCATGCCTGTAGTCCCAGCACTTGGGAGGCAGAAGCAGACGGATCTCTGTGAGTTCAAGGCCAGTCTGGTCTACATAGTGAGTTCCAGGACAGCTGGGGCTACAGGGAGACCCTGCTTCAAACAGACAAAAAAATAAATAAATAAAAATAAAAAATCATTATTCGCTCTCAATGTCAAATATGCACCAAGAATTAAGGATTTCCACATTCAAATAAGCCATCATCGGTACAGCAAGGAGATGTGTAATTTTATTTTCCTTCTGAGTAAGCAATCACATCTGTATCACATATTTATGGCCTGTCTGCTCCCTATTCGTCATGTACAAAGTCTTGACATGTGAGATGCGTTCTCCTGTCCATTGGTCCATTGTCAATGTGTCAGTGTAATAGTGCCTTAATTTTAAAAGCTCTGTAAGTCAAGAACATGCAGGGGCATATTTCCCACTTGTCCTTTGACTTCCAATATTCCTTTTCTCTGTTCTTCTGCATTACTTCTAGAACCAGCCCGTTAGAGTTCAGCAAACACTCGCTGAAGCTGATGTGTCAACTGGAAGTGCAGTACACCAGTAAGTATACTTTTAAGCCTGTTTCTCTTGGCCTACTGGGCCTTCCTAGCACAGTCAGCGTACAGTTTTTTCCTTCATTTGTGTTTTGCGTCTTTTGTGTTATTAAACAGTTTACAAGTTTCTCACAAAGGCCTAAGGTGTATTCCGTTAGAATTTTCTCATATCTCTTAGTAAGCACAGATCTGACATGAGGAGTTTTGAGGTTTATATAACTGGAAGGAACCTCTGAGAAAAAAGATAATATTACCAATAGAAATTGCTTCTACCTACTGTTCAGAAGTCAGGTAAAGGCCTAGAAATTCACACTGCATTAGCTTTGCAGCAAATCTGGGCTGCGCACAGCTGCTTTTGCTACTTCACCTCAGTGAATGAGGCCTTTGAAACACTGCTTCTGAAAAGTTAGTAAGTTTAGTGTGTTGATATTGCTCCCAGAGAATTTGACAACTTATTTATTCCTGTTGTTTGCTGTTGTTGCTCTTGGGTTTTCCATGAAGAGAATCAAATCTTCTGCAGGGTAGAGTTGTCTTTTGATTGTTCATGCTCGGGTCAAGCAAGATAAAACACCAAACGCTGTTTTTAAAAAGTCCCAAGCACAATGTCAAGTAAAGCTAATTACACTAACACACCAGAAGACTGTACACTTTGAGAGAAAATGTGAAAATAAGTCAATTTCAATAAAGTCCTCATAGGAATGGAATACACGTTTGGTGTGGTTTGTGGTATGATACAAGTAGATGTGATTTATTTGGATCTTACAAATAGTCTTCAAGGATATTCAAGATGCTTGACACTCATCACACATGACCAAATACCACTTATCTACTACCTATCGCTTTCCTTTCCGTAAAAGCTGATTTGTACTTTAGATTATTACAAGTCACACATTGAAGATGGTTGCTATATAGGATACACAAAAGCACTTAAGAGTTTTCACAACATTTTCAATATTCTTTTCTTTAACTATGAAGGTGATTCTTGACGATAGCAAATGTATTTTGTTTTTAATTTGATATTATATTGAAAGTTATCTGGGAGTGTTGAGCAATCAAATGGAAGATATTTTCTCCAAAGGCAACAGACAAAGAATGAATGACAGAGGGAAGACTAAAAGCTTTCAATCTTGCATAAATAGGGACTTTTACCTGAAGAGACTGAGTATGTGACTTCTGCACTATGTCCTTCATCGAGATCCTTTGCAAATACAGTTGTAACCAATGTATTTACTGGTTGACCTTCCAAAACCTGTCATGGAAACAAATGGCTTACAGATGAGTCAGTGACATTTTGAAAAGATATATCAATTGACCTTTAGATGAAAGAACACAGCACACCAGGCACTTTTTAATGATTTTAAAATCTGTATAGCATTCAAATGACTACCATCTAAAAGTTCAGTGGGCAGAAGTCCAGGAAAAGAATCCCCCTTATACATCTAAAATTTTACTCAATTTGAAGAAATTATCCAGTGCATTTAAAGTAACTATGCAAATAAGTAAATCAAAATTAAGTCAAATTAAATAATTTTATATTTTGGATGATTTCCTAGCATTTTCTTACTCAACAGCTTCTCGGGGTATTTTTTGTGTTGCTTAACAAAATATGCCTAATGTAAATATGTACCTTTATTTCAGGAAATATACTTCACATGGAGAATACATATTATTACTAATGGGAACTTTCCTGTAATAATCATGACATTTATGCATGGAGCTCAAATGTCCAAAACAGAACAGGGCGTCTTACAGATATAATAAAAATCACTATGATAATGTTTTCCTTTGGAGGAATTTTCTTTTAACCCTGGCTGTAGAAAATCAATTTATTTAAAGTTCCTGTTTTCCTCACTACCCTTTTGAGATGTTGATTATACATATTTGGGCAGAGTATACATGTCCAATTCAGATGTTTTAATCAGTAGTTGCCAAACTTTTTATTCATATAATCCATACACTTTAAAAAGCCTGGGTGCCTTCAAGATATATTAATGTATTAAGTGTGCAAGCTGACATGCTACTTCAACATTAAATAATAAATTCACAAAAATGTACAAATAAAAAGATGAGGTAATATAAATATGATAACAAGTTTGTGCACATGCTCACTGGACCACCTTTTAGAATCTCCAGATGGACACCTACCCATGTCAGAGTCACACACTGATCGAGCTTTCATCTAGACATCTTAGTGACCTGTATGGGCTGTACATAAGGAGCTTTGCTCAGAAAAGCATGCAAATTCATAGAAGCCCAGTCCATGCGTAGATTACCAGTCCTGGGACACCATTATATCCATATGTAAAGGACAGAACTATAGTGCTTTTAATCAAACTTGAGGTGCATTTCCAAAGAGTGCACACATCCAATGTCTTCATTTTTCTTTAGCACATACATTGTATCTAGGTCTGCAACCAAGATTGATTTGACAATTCACATCTTTTACCACGAGATGGAGCTCAAAACAAATGACTGAAAAAGAACATTCCAGTATCACTGCAATGCTACTTCACAAACCTTGATATGAAATTCCTTTCCAGGGAGACATTGTGGGAAAAATGGCCTGTTGTCATTGATGTCAGTAACTGTGATGTAAACTACCGTGGTCGCATTTCGTGGTGGAGAGCCATGATCCGTCACTAGGACAGTCAACTGATGATGCCCCTGATGCTCACGATCCAATGCCAACCAACTAATCAGTTCACCTGGGAACACAGGGTAAAATAAGACACTGACACTGTATCCTAGAATTTTGGCATCATGAAGCACATTTGAAATAATTCACAGAAAGGAAAACCAAATACAAATCTTTGAACAAAAGTGTAACACTTGGTACCCCATACAAAGTAATTCAGCTCAGGGCTGGAGAGACGGCTCAGCAGATAAGAATACTGACTATTCTTGCAGAAGACCCAGGTTTGAATCCCAGCACCCACATGGCAGCTAACAACTGTCCGTAACTCCAGTTCCAGGGGATCCAACAGCCTCTTCTGTCCTCCACGGGCATTTCATGACGCAGGTGCACTTACTTACACGCAGACAATACACACATACATGTAAAATAAAAATAATAAAATTTTTTTAAAGTAATAAAGCTCTATGGTTCTGCTGAAAGAATTTGCTGCCAAGTGTACTGCTGTGTGTCTATAACCCCAGCACTTGGGAAGCAGAGGCAGGTGGATCATGAGCTCCATTCCAATCTGGGCTCTGTAAGATCTGTCTCAAAACAAAACAAAACAAAACAAAACAATTACTAAAGTTGTTCCAGAAAAATACCACTTTAAATTTATCATTCTTTATATGTCAACTTACCCATCAGTCAATTGTGGAAATAAAAATTAATACATAAGAGGAAATGATTTGGAAGGTTTAAAATTATTGCTTATTCCTCCTTCACTACTATATAAAACATGTATATAAAATATAAATATGCACTACATGTATAAAACATGTATGTATTACGATATCCTGAGCTCTGGGCTGAGTCCCAGATCTCTGCCAGCCTCTCACAGCTAATCTTCTAGGGCTACTCTTGGAAACAAACACAATATCATATTTTGCATTATTTTAATTTTTAAAACTTAATTGTGTATGTGCACATGTGAGTGCAGGTGCCTCCAGGTTACAGTATTTTTAAACTGTTTTACAGTATTCTATTGGCCATTGTTGTCAACTTTACAAGATCTTTCCAAAAAACACATTCCTTAGGAAATGAATTACCAGGCAATATTCCATTTTTGCTCATAAAATACATGCATAGCAATAGATAGTGACCTCCCAAATAATTCTTAACACTTTTCAAGCCTTATTTTATATTTATATTTTTTTCCTAGAAATTTGCTGTCTTTGGTAAACTCTCTCATGTTTCAGCCATGACAACTCAGATTAACTCATGACCGATGTCCCCTTTGCCTAGGGCATTCAGAGGTCACACTCTCCAACAGCCCATCTTGTCTCTCAAGTTCAGCCCAGCGCTGGCTTCCTCAGCATTCTGGAAGAAATCTAGTTGTGAGAAAGTAAACACAACATAGCTACCATCATTCTTATTAGAGTGATTTGTTTTCTCTTAATCCAAATAAAGTGGCATTACATAAAAATGAAAGCTAAAAATAAGAAGAAAATTCACATTTGGGCAAGTTGCTTAACCAGTGAGCTTAAATGTGCTATTTATTATAACTATTGTCTGTATAAACAGTATTTAAATGGTATTTATTAAAACTTTGATTTTTAATAAAGGTCATACACACAACAGCATTTTTTAAATTCCTATCTGTAACCCTGAAAACGTGAATATCGGAGTTTTGTTTCCTGTACCAAGTCTGACTGACATGTAGCAGCTGTGATAGGACTGGGCAACTAGGCCCACCAGGGTGATGCTAAGGCAGGGCGGCACCATGGGAGCTAAGCTTCCCTCACTCAAAGGCTCAGCACAAGGATGGGAAGACAGTGGTCAGCCACACTCTGAAGGACGCCCTCCTTGCCACATTGCCTTGCCACAGTGACCCTGGTGAATGGGAGCAGCTTATCAGTACAGTCCCGCAGGCTCCTTCGTATACTTTAGTTCTTTGTCCTCTGGAGCATGTGGGGAGTTACGTCTTTTGTAAGGACACTGAGCTCAGAGGTCAAGCCACTTGCTGATAACCAAGGACAAAATGAGTACATCCTTGGTCATGTATATCTGGTTGTTGAATGTACGGTCAGAAAAGGAACAAGCTGTGGCTTATGCACTAAAATAATTCCTAGGTGAGATAGAAAACCTGGGAAATGAGCAGCCACGTTGGAGAAGGAGCAGACAGGGAAGTCTGGTCTACTTCTGCAGCCTGTGCCCTGCAGAAGGGAGCCACCGAGAGCTGGCACCCAGCCTGCATCTTTCTTTGTGAGCCCCTTGCCCTGAAGAAAGCTTCACTTGTTGGAGAAAGGGAAGCCTTTACCCAGCTTATGACCATTGTCCAGTTGTCCTCTCATCTCTGACTGGCTCTGTGACCTAGCTTCAGCTGTAGGAATATTTCCACGCTTATGTGTATGTGTGCAATTTGAGCAAATTTTGTTGTAAGAAATGAAGTCCTTCTGAATTTATAAAATATAAAATTTCAAATATGGTTACATATTATATTGAAATTTCAAATGAAGGTGTCAAAGGTTAATAACATCACACTTAATCCTCTTTCTCCTTGTTTCTTACCAAAATGAGCATGGGGCATATCCTCAGAGGGATTTTGAAATCTTAACTAATAGATTACTTTCTAGTTTTACCTTGATGACAGTTGTTTTATAAAGCATTTCTTAGCTTTTTTTTGTTAATTCTAGAAATGTAAAAGAATGGAAGATGATAAGACAAATCTCCCTCCCTCTCCCTCTCCGTCTCTCTTTCTCTCTCCCTCTCCCTCCCTCTCCCTCTCTCTACCTCTCTCTTTCTGTCTCCCTCTCTTTCTCTCTCCCTCTCTTTCTCTCTCCCTCTCTCTCCCTCTTCCTCTCTCTCTCTTTCTCCCTCCCTCTCCCTCTTCCTCTTTTTCTCTCTCCCTCTCTCTCCCTCTCTTTCTCTCTCCCTCTCCCTCTCTCCCTCTTCCTCTTTTTCTCTCTCCCTCTCTCTCCCTCTTCTTCTCTCTCCCCCCTCTCTCTCCCTCTCTCCCTCCTTTTCCCTCTTTCTCTTTTTCTTCATCAGGGAAACACTTTAGGACCCTCCATACTTGACTGCTAGATTTATAGAAAAGTAGGGAGTGTCCAAAGGAAGGTTTCGGGAATAGAACTAGAAAGCTGATTAGGAAAAGGACAGTGAGAATCCAAGACAAGACTGAAGACCTCTTGTTAGGCTGCCCCAATCCTCTATGTGGGATTGATTCAATCCAATTCTCACCATGTCTCTGATACAGTGTAAGAATGACAATTATAAATTGATTAATGATAGGGGTACATTCCAAAAGCACATCACCAACCAGTGTCATCACTGTGCAAATATCATGGAATATACTTACACAAACCAAGCTGGTGCAACCTGCTGCTTCACCTATGCCTTATAACCATTGCTCCCAGGCTACACACCTGGGAAGCCAATCACTGTTCTCAACACAGAGGGCCACTGTAGCACACTGGGAGTATCCATGTATCCAAACTATCCAAACATAAAAAGAAGACAGTGAAATCTCTAGAGCCCATGGGAATTTTTCAGGGACTGAAATAATTTTAGGGACTGTCATACATGCAGTTCATTGCTGAGTAAAAGGCTGTGTGGCTCAGGACTGCATTGGCAACGTGTGATGGGGAGGCAAGAGAAGTCTGAATCAGTACAGGTGAAATTCTTTTCAATTTTAACTACATTTTAAAACTCACAACACTGTAATCCAACACTGTGTTTCCTAAGCCTAATTTTGTTTGTGCTAAAGTTGAATTTAAAGATTTACACTTTTTCAATCTGATTTTTAAAGGTATGGATGAGTGAGTCACAAGAAAGCTACCTGTGTTAGGATTCATCCTGAAGAATTTTCCATCAGACAGAAGGAAATATGACAGCTGTCCATTCTTCCCAGAGTCTGTGTCAATGGCTGTAATTTTGCCAATTACCCCTAGGGGAGTAGGGCTCTCCTCCACTTTCAAAACCATCACATCATGCAAGAAGACAGGGGAATTATCATTCTCATCTAAGACATGGACGATTACCGAAGTGCTCACATTCGGCAACAATCTGCCCTCTGGGATCCTGGCAAACACTCTAAACCTGTATGTTTGTGTAGATTCATAGTCGAGCTGTCGCCGCAGATAAATCCACCCTGTGTGAGAGTGTATTCCAAACGCTGCAGAGTCCACGCTGGCATCCAGAGTGTATACCATCTGTGAGGTTGGGCCCCACAGATGCAGTGGGTAGGCCTGTACTTGAAGTATTTGTGTTGTCAGTGGGAGAGATTCACTAACTTCTACTTGATAGACCAAATTTTCAAAAGCTAAGACAGGGCTTTGCTCTTGCTTGTCTATTATTATGGTGAGCACTAACTGGGATGCCTGAGGAGGAGCACCATGGTCCTCAGCCACCAGGGTCAGTGTGAGCTTCCCTGGGACCTGACCATCCAGGTTCCCGCTGAGATACAACACCCCAAATCCTGGGTCAACGCTAAACACACTTGGCTTTGGGCTTGCAATGGCATACCGGACTAGTCCATTCAGCCCACTGTCTCTGTCCTCTGCTCGTGCAAGGTACAAGGCTGTACCAGGAGGTGTGGTCTGGGAGATCTTGATCTCATCTGAGGCTGTGGGAAACTTGGGTTGGTTGTCATTGACATCGATCACAGTTATGTTTACTTCTGTGCTGCTGCAGGCTGAGGAGCTGCCGAGCTGGGCCTGGATGGTGAGGACAACTGTGGGCTGAGCTTCATGGTCCAGAGGCTTCTGGGTGTGAATAGTGCCAAGCCATTGATGAATGGAGAACTTTCTGTCCAGATCCCCAGAGGAAATTCGGTAAGAGATTGGCTCTGAGGAATCTGAAAGAAAACACAACCAGTGTATGCTAAAGGAATGAGTTTGCTGGAAACCAGGACACTGAAAACAGCATATGTTCCATTTATAAAGAATATTGCAAGTTCTGACTTCTCCTTCCTATCCACAGCTGCTGGGGAAACACATGGTTTGAGACCTTAGTGACCCAAAGGAATGGCCAGTGCACAATGAGCAAATATTCCCCACTTCATCTTTCCCGTGTTAGATAAAAAAGAAAGCGGATTGGAAAATAATTTGGACATCTTTTTGAGGAAGTTAAATCAAGTTTATGTTGATATTTTTCTATGATATTTACCTATGAATGGCAAATACCCTCCACAGAGGTAGGAGGAAGGAGAGAAGAAAGGACAGGAGGGACCTGGGAGGAAGGTCAACCGTTTGAGAGGGAATTCCCTTGTGGGACTTTGTCCTGAAGAGGTCAAAGGGAAAGGGTGTCATGCAAGGAAGGATATTGGCTCAAGTACTGTTTGCACTAGCAGAGCATTTTTAATTCACTCAAATGGATACCAAAAAGGAAATGCTTAAATAAGCCCATCTAAGTTAAAACACCATGTAACTCATGCCATAGTGTTGTCAACTCTGTAGTGTATTACATTCTCATTATGAGGTGAAACAGGATGATGCACAGCATAGCTGGAAAGCTCTAGGAAGCAAGTAGTGGAGTGGTAGCTGTGTCGCAGGTATACTAAGGTGTCTTTTTATAAAAATGTTCAGGTTTGTATGGTTCAGTGAGTGGATTACAGGAGATATACAGTTTCTATATTATGATTCTGTACTATATTAAGCATTCTTCAAAAATACCTATTCTTTCCTTATCAAAAATTGTAATATGGGAGGCAGCCATGTTGAAAGTACAGTGAGCAAGCCCTGGGTTGTGCTGTTCCCATTCATTTTGTTCGAAAGAATGAAATATTCATTTTAAGATTCCATGGCCGGAGAGATTGCTCAACAGTTAAGAGCACTGGCTGCTCTTGCAGAGGTCCTGGATTCATCTCCTAGCACTCACAAGGCAGCTAACAACCATCTGTAATTCCAGTTCTAGGAGATCTGATGCCTTCTCTGACTCCCATGGGCATTGTACAACAAAGGTGCACTTACACTGCACTTACAGGCAATACCCTCATACACATAAAATAAAAATAAAAAATAAAATATTTTAAAGATGCCGTGGTCCAATAAAATGGGAGGTTTTCTGATAATGATGCTGCTGCAGCATAAGAATTAAATCCTTACTTGAGGACTCTCCTGCTTTCACTGTTCCAACAAAGCTGCCGATGGGTGCATCTTCGTATACCGAGAAAGAGTACTTGGGCCTTTCAAATTCCGCAGGAGCCAATGTGGTCTGCAGAATGTGTATGGTTACATCAGCATTAGTGTCAGCTGTGAGCCCACCACCATCTCGAGCACCAACCATCAGAAAGAGTGTGGTAGCTTCCAAATGGCTGAGTGTTGATGTTAAGTAAATAATTCCTGAGTAGAGGAAAAAAAGAATTAATAAGTAGATAATATGCAATAAATACTGATCGCAGAACCCAGTCTGTTAAGTCTGCTGTGTGATGTTTATTTTATGTGTCCACTTGACTGGGTCTTCAGTTTGCCCATTTGATCAAACATTATTAATCTGAGTATGTATCTAAAGGTGCTTTTGAATGAGATTAACATTTAAAACCAAAGACAGAATACGGTAGCTTGCTCCCTGAATGTAGGCAAGCTTCATTCAATTGTCTTTCGGATAAACCAAAAGAGTTGACCTTGAAGAGCTGTGGCAACTCCATTTTAAAACCAACCTACATCCCAGTTGAATCTTTCCAGTAACAGCTAGTAGTTCCCGGAATACCCAGAGACCAACTGCCACAGATGTCAAAACTGCCTCCCAACCACAAATGGTCAAAATAGCCAGAAAAACAAACAACCAATCACCTATGGCCCAGTACATTCACCCCACCATGATGTAAGGCTGTGGTGGGCCCCCTATAAAAGGCCAGCCCAAACGATGGATTGGGCCTTCTCATAGAGCTGGGGCGCCAGTCTCTGTGTTAAGGTCCCTACCGCGGTTTGTACTTGTTCAATAAACCTTGCTTTTGCAGTTTTGGAAGTGTCGGCAATCGCTGGTCTCTTTGGGGTCCTGAGGCTGAAGTCTAACAGACCTCTCATAAATAAGAGAGAATCCCTCCTATCTGATGGTCTTTAAACTGGGACACTGATTTTGTTTTGCTGCCTTAGGACCTTAACTAAAAACTCGCTCTTTCTGGGACTCCAGTCTTCTGGTTTTCAGTCTGAGACAACACACTCCTAGGTTCATCTTTCTGACTCAATCTGCAAATCTTGGAACCTGCAAGGCCCCATAACCACACAAGCCAATTCCTTGTAATAAACCTCTTCACAGTCCATTTCTTGAAGAATTTCAATTGGCACACCTATTTCACAAACAGAAACTTGAACATACTTGTAAAATGATGTCCAAATTCTGTCAATCAATGTTTTCCTAGAACTTAAACATTAGACATTTTGGAAGCAACTTAACTCATCAGAAAAATTTAAGTCATGTTGTCCTTTTTAAGCCTTAATATCATATCAACAACTCCATTTGATGGAATAATAAATAGGGTGCATGTCTCTATGTTCTAATGTTGGGTTAATACATGGTTAGGGTGGTTACAACCTGCTCTGGTACCAAAATCCTAAGTCTGCAGGAGGAAATAAAAATGTGTCTTCTGAGGTACTCATCATGTGTCCTGGGCTGGACACTGATCTCTCAGTCAACTAGTTCCACTCTTTGTTAGTGAGAAGCTATGACATAGAATCTGTGTGTAAGACTTCAATAACTGTTAATCCCAGGGGAACACGAGTGACAGGTTAGGCTTATGAATGTAGCACATGGGAAAGAAGGTATTGATGGTCAAGTTGGAAGGAGATTTAATACACTGAGAACACGAATTATTTAATACTATCCTTCAGTAAAACTGGTTCAAGAAAAATCGATACAATGTAACCACCTTACATGAAAATGTGAGTTTTATTTCATGAGAAAGAAAGTACATGCACTTACTGATTGAATTTAAATACATATTAATATGGTTGGACCTTGAAGCAGGGTCATGATGTAACTGCCTATATTAGTAATTTTAAAATGCTACAGTTTTTGCTAATTTATGAGACACTACCAAAACACCAGCAATGTCTCTTTTAGGTATGAAAAGTGAAATCTGTTCCATCTTTTCTTTCAAGTCAAAACCTGACCTTTTGGGATGGGGATGTATTTCAGTTGGTAGAATGTTTGTCTAGAATGTACAAAGCTCTGAATTTGACTCCCAGCACTGTGTAAACCAGTGTGATGGCACACACTTGTAATCTCAACACAGGAGGTGGAGGCAGGAGGATAAGCTGTTCTTGCTCCCATTTCTATTAGAAAGTTATGCAATGCATGCTATGACATCCCTATTTTCTTTTCCTTTAGGTTCACTAAAGTATAGATGACATTTAAAATTGTATGAGTTCAAGCTATGCAATATCACAATTTGAGATGCATATGAATTGATGTTTTCTTTAAAAATTCCTTATCTAATATGATTTTATGTAATGAATCTTTCAGGTTCATTTCTTCTGCACACATTCCAAGATGTTCATACTAATTTTGGCACCCAAAGTGATCACATGCTTCCAGATCGACCTGACATCACACAGCAAAGTGTAAACAAACGCTCTTTACTGGAACACTTCAAATACTATTAATAACACCAAGTGTGACTGTACTGGCTTAAAGTAGTCCCATCAGACTTCGTCATCCTTATTTGATAGTCCTCCAAAGAACTCAATACTCTTCGAAAAAAATTCTGTCAGATATTTCCAATCTTGGTACAATTTTAAAAATAATAGAATATAGATTGCTTATTTATTCATTTCTGTGCTTGATTTAAAAAATAAAACTCAATTGCTTGGGCCCAAGAATTCAAAACCAGTCTATATCACATAGTGATACTTTTCTAAAAAAGCAACAACAAAACCCTTAAAAGTATCCACAGAGGGAAATGGCAAGTCCATCCCACATTCAGCCATCCCTGCTCCCTTGGGTATATGTTCTTATGGACTTAATTCAATTCCAATTACAGGGAACTTTTTAAAGATTTATTTTCTACATTTTGAAGATTATGACGCTGAAAAAGTAAATAAAATGCCTGCCTCAAGTAGATACAACCTAGCTTCCTACCTCCAGATAGACTCTTCCGGAATATCTTCATACCTGTAATCGAATAGTGTTCCTGGTATCCACACCTAAGGATATCAGTGTCTCTGGATGCTCAAATTTTAGCATTCCAAAACATCATCTTCCGTCTCCGTAGCCCCATTTACAACTCTGTACCTTTTTCAGTTGGCAAAGTAAAACACTTACGATGTCCAAAATAAAACCTACTCATTTCAATTCATATATTTGAATCCCTTTCCCAGAATAACTTCTTGTCTCCTTTGACTTAACAGTTTCTAGTCATATTTGAAGTACAATTCAAGTCTTACTGATGTAACTGACTTTCGCTTACCTTCATGTAGGACTAGATACCATCCTTCTATGATTCCTGGGCACCTATGCCTACTACAAACTGAACATGTTATAGTTTAATTATCACGTCTACGTTTATTATCATTAATTTACCCAATAATTAATAAAATAAATTCAATAATGATATTTGAGCCAGGTGTGGTGGTGCATGCCTTTAATCTCATCACTTGGGAGGCAGAGGCTGGAAGATGTGAGATCAAGGTCAGTTTGGTCTATGCAATGAGTTCCAGGCCAGCTGGGATTACAGGAAGACCCTGTCTCAAAAAATTTCTAAATATTGGTCTTTCTCTTGTATTCAACACTCCACAAACAAGTGGACGAAGTTTGTAATTTTTTTTCCTTCCTCAAAATGCTATGAATGCTAGCTTTCTGATTCTATATGCTAATTTTATGTTCTTAGTGTTAGGTTTATTTGTGAGTCATTTTGATTAAATCTTAGCAGAGCCAGGCTCTCACATAAACCTGGCAGGAGGTGATGTGTAGATGCAAGGCAAGAAATCCATTCTTTGGAGTTTATGGAATAATAAAAGACCATGGAGACAGACTCTTAGAATCGGATATAGCTGCCTTCAAATCCTGTTTCTGTCAATTTGCAGTTGGCCTTGAGCAATTTTGTAAACCTTCTGAGTCTATTTACCAGCTATAAACAAACTGTAGAATCAGGCCAATATCATTTTCTGTACAGATTTGTTAGGAGAATCAATTAAACAGTATATGCTAACAGATAGCATCATGCCTGACATACATTGATTCTATTATACAACGCTAACTTCCTTCCCTCCCTCCTAAGGCCTAAAAGGCTAAGAGAGCAATTCCATGCAGCACAGAAGATGTGTTCATGGGTAATGAGTGACTTCCTCTCTCAGGAAAGGGAAAGGTGGAGCAACTGGAATAGTATCAATATTCTATAAAATCCTGTGAAAAGAGTACATACGAAATTGACTGAAAGAGCTGACCAGGGACCCGTCTGTCCTCACAGACTGCCTACCACAACACAAAGGAGCATTGTTGAGAAGGCTGCAATAATCCTTCTTATACTAACATATCCCACTTCCTCTAAAAAGGTGGCAGTTTTATGTAAACAAGTCTTAAAAAGATCTATATTTTCCTCTTGTCTTATTCTTGTGGGTGGCCCTATAATTTACATGCTTTATGGGTTTGCAATGTGTCCTTTAATGTTTATATTTTAAACTTATTTAAATAACCCTTTCTAACTTTATAAATGAAGATACTGACATAGGTGATGACACAGAGGTAGACTGACAGCTCCCATTTGGGAGGCCAGGGGACAAGGCTGCAAGGTCAAAGCTTTAGCTATGTTTTCCCTCTCTTGATCGTATGAAATATTCTGAAAATTCAAGAGAAGGACCTGCACTGTGATAGTGCCTCCAACCCACCACCACCCAAAGTCCTAACATCTGACAAAAAAATTCAGCCTAAAGGAAATGCCCAACAAAAATCCTGAAAGACTGAGACCTGTGTGGTTGGCCTTGTCACCTAAGGGAGTCCCACATAAAAGTCATGATTTTAACAATAACAGAGCTAAGAGTCCCGTATTATATTATCTGAAGGCTGAATCACTTTGCAAAGGCAATAGCGTAGGTTGAAACTCTCCTCCAAAAATGCATGTCCACTTGCAACCTCAGAATTTGACTGGAATTTTTTTGGAACAGTCTCAAAGATGTCATCATGAAACCATCCCAGGTTTATGGTGGGCCCTAAATTCAGTGACGGAATGCTTCTGAGAAGCAATGGAGAAGAAAAAGAAGCATTGAAAACACAGCCACGTGATGATAAAGGCAAGGTTAGCGGTGTGCTGCCAGGAAGGAGGGACAAGGACGGCTAGTGGCCACTAGAAGCCGCAAGGGGGTTGGGGGTAACTTTGCTCTCAGTCTCTAGTACCAAGACTGTAGAC